CCCTTGTCCTGTCACTACAGGCCCTTGTAAAAAGTCCTCTCCCAGCACCCTTGTAGGCCCCCTTCAGATACTGGAAAGCTGCAATGAGGTCTCGAATGGACCTTCTCCATCAGTGGTGGGGATGTGTGAAGTCTGAGCCTCTTCTCTCTGTCCCCTGTTTGGCTCCAGTTGTCCCAGGTGAAACCCCCAGGGAGTTAAACCCCCCGAGCTGAGAACTGCACCAGAGCCGCCCTCTCCTGCTGCCCCCAGCTCTGGGGCTGAGCGGGTGCCCAGCAGCAGGCAGGCAGATGCCTGGGGAGGGGGCGGCTGGGCATTGAGGCACGAAGTCCTGGGGCAGATGCTGACCCTGCAGAAGGGACATGGCCCTGGCACGAGGCGCTTGGCAGCGCATTGGGCTGGGTGGCTGCAGCGCTGTGTTAAGCCCTTGCACCCTGTGCTCACCGTGAAGGTGCTGCTCAGCGTGGGGGTGTTCCAGGGAATCTTTCCAAACCCCATGGGCTGTGCAGGTTTATCTGCTTAGGGCTGTCCCTTTGCACTTTCTGGGTCTGTCTTGATGCACACCCCAACCAGGACCCCATCCGGGTCCCTTCTCTCTGAAATCCCCCCCCTGCAGCGAGGAGCTCTGCCCTGTTCACTGCCAGGCCCTGCAGCGGGGAAGGCAGCTGGAGAGCTGCCCGCCCCGGCAGCAATGCACAGGAAAGCTGGGCTCAGCAGGTTGGTGGGTGGCCCCGTGACCCTGGCCCTGCTTGCGGCAGAGCTGATGGAGGCACCGAAGCTTCGGGAGCCAGCTGGAGCTTCCCTGCTGTCCCCACGGCTGGGGGAGGATCTGCGCTTTGGGCTTCATCCTGGCTGTCAGGGAGAGGTGAGGGGGACAGGACATGGAGTGGGGACCGCGTCTCCCCACGCAGACCGCTTTCCTGGAGAGATGTCTGGGAATGGGACAAGACTGAGCTTGTGCAAAACAGATCAGAGAGGCTGGGTTCCTGCTGGGGCAGAGGGCTCCTCGGGTGGCACCTGCGTGTCCTCGTCCCTTTGGGTAAGGAACCAACTCTCACCAGCTGCCCCTTGGGCTGAGCCCCCAGGGACACTGTGCCATTGTCTGATCATGCAGCTGGTACAAGAGATTTCCTTTAGTTCATCTGTGGCCCTTCTGAAGGGGTTCTCCTGTGTCCTTGTCCTTTCCCCAGGACAAGAGCTGGCAGCTCAGGAAGCTGGGTTCGGCCTCCGTGATTCCCAGCCTCTGGGCTGATGTGGGATGCCTTCTCTGAGTGGGAACTGGTGGGTTTGGGCTTTGTTCAAAGTGAGCCTGCGGTGTATGCAGCAGCTCCTCAGACTTCTACCTCTCTGCCCCAGCTTGTTTTTTGGGTTGTTTTTAAGGGCAGTGCAGAGCAGGAGGTCTCCTGTCAACCAAATGCCTGTTTGAATGGTATGTTGACAGCTGGATTGCAACGTGTTGCTGTGAGGTAGTACTTGCCCTCCCAAGGGGCAAATGTGATGGTACATCCCAATGGCAAAGGCCTCTCCTTCAAGCTGGATGCAGTCACTCCTGCTCTGGCTTCTGTCCTGTTCTCAGGTGCTCACAGAGGCCCTGGCTGCTCTCCATCAAAGCCCTTTCTCCCCACCTGACCTTATTCCTGTCTCTTGCAGTCTCAAACAATGAACTACGTGGGGCAGCTTGCAGAAACTGTCTTTGTCACAGTGAAGGAGCTGTACCGGGGCCTGAACCCTGCCACCCTGACGGGCTGCATCGATGTGGTCGTGGTGAGGCAGCCCGATAACTCCTTCCAGTGCTCCCCATTTCACGTGCGCTTTGGGAAGCTGGGTGTGCTGCGCTCCAAGGAGAAGGTGGTAAGTGGTGCCTACCCTGGGACTGTGCTTCATCTCTGGTGTCTCCAGACCCAGGACCTTCCATAACACCCAGGTCATGGAAGAACTTGGTTTGAGGGGAATGGGAGCCCTGCTGAAAGGGGTGCATGCCAATTTTTAGGGGGTATGCCCCAAAGGAACCCATCCTCTTAGAGGGAGGACTATGCTTCCCAGGAAAGCTGGGAGAGGTCCCTTGCCTCAAAGGCTGTGTGGCTGTCAGCCCTGTGAGCAGCCCCGCTCTGTCTCCAAGGAAGTGCCTGCCTCTACGCGGATGGGTGAGCGGGTTCAGATGAACAGGCTGCTTCTGCCCCTTGCCAGGTTGATATCGAAATCAATGGGGAGCCGGTGGACCTGCACATGGAGCTGGGTGACAATGGAGAGGCCTTCTTTGTCCAGGAGTCGGAGGAAAATGAGGTTGGTGATGAAGAGGCACTGCTGTGACCCCCTGGAAGTGTAGGCTTGAGAAGGAAGTGCCGGGTTTGGGGTTTGCACTGTTTCTTTTTCCTCAGGGTGACTCCACTATCCCCTCTGTCTTGTGTATCCGGAAAGGTTCCTGCTCAAAGGACCTTGTAACCAGTGTGGAGGATCTGGGCAGTGGAGCACCCTGAGGAGGGAGCATCCTCCCTCTTGGGGCATGGCGGAGCACCGTGAGGAGGGAGCATCCTCCCTCTTGGTGCATGGCTGCTGCTCAGCCAGGCAGATATCTTGGAGCTTGGCCTCTTGAGGGATCTTGTGACAGGGATGAGGAGTGAGCCAGAAGCAGGATGAGACTAGTTGTGGCTTCCAGAAATCTTGGCAACTCATTCCTAGGCTGACCTGTGGTTGCTGGTGGCTTGCGCTGGGTTTGAGAGCAGCGAGAGGGCTGTAGAGCCAGATCAATCCTATTTTTCAGCCTTGGTAATTCTGGTCGTATGGTGCCATCTCCTGCCTGCCTCTCCTAGCCTGTGGAAAGATGTCTTGTGGCTGGATAACCTTTGTTTTGGTTTTGATTTTGTTTTATTCACATGTTGCATGTACAGAACCTTTTCTTTTGGTCCTAGCCACAAACCCACCCCAAGCTGAGGGCTCAGTGGTCTTCGGTATGCTGGTGGCGTATGTTGCATAGATGAAAACCATGAGCTGGTGGTCTCTTCCATCCCTGTTGCAGGACAGCATCCCCTCCAGCCTCTGCACATCACCCATCCCTGGGGAGGAGACCTCCAGCACTGAAGCCAACCCGCGCAAGAGGAGGCGGCGCAGGAGGAAGCCTAAGCGGAAGGAGATGCTGGACTCCCAGTTAGAAGGCTGCCAGGAGGCTGTAAGCGAGGTCTCCATGGACAAGAGGTGAGTGGCTTGGTCTGGGCAGGGTGATGCCCAGCAGCACAGAAACATGGGGACAGTGTTTAAAGTTGGACCCCAGTCTCCTGTGGAGTAGAAAGCCAGTGGAAATGGTGAAGCTTGGTATTGCCAGCTTTCCAGATGAGGAGGCTGGTGCCTGAGAGCAGCCTAACTGACCCCTCTCCTCCTCTGCAGCGATCCAATGTATTTCTCCTTTGCTGACCTCCCTGAAGAAGAAACTGGGTCGTGTCAGTCCCCGGAGATGCATCCTTACTCTGATGGGGAGCTGGCCTCCATGGACAGGTAATGGGCAGGGCCAAGGCAATCTGCTGTTCTGAGAGAGCCAGGGATGTGCCTTGTGGCTGGTAAGGAAAAGGGATGGGGGTGTCTGGAGAGGAGGGTTTTCCTGGCTTCATACCATGTGGCTGGAGAAAAGTGTGGAGCTCATGAGGGACACTTCTGGCCATGGTCACAGATGCAAGAAGCCTCAGTGCACAGGGTGCTGCTGTTTCTGGACAACCGGTGCCATAGCACTTTGTTTCCTTGGGCCTCAGATTCCCATAGGTCTTGCTTGTTTGTGATAGTCTTATGGGGCAGAACTGACTCTATGGGAGACCAACATGCAGTGTTCTTGGCCCTAAATGTCCTTGCAGTGATAGGAAAGCATAGGGCTGTAGGGCACAGATTAAGGTTCAACATTCCCTTCTCTTCTTGTAGCCCCACCCTAGGCCTTCTGTCTTCTCCCAAAAGTGACTCTGAACTGGAGATCAGACCACAGGAGAGTTTTGCTCTAGGGGCTGAATCCCACATGCAGTGGGCATGGGGAAGGCTGCCTCAGGTGAGTCTCTGTTCTTGCTCTTCCCTAGCAGCTGGTGGGAGGGGGATGCCTGAAAAGCCTGCAGAAAGTGGCCAGTGGTCAGTAGCCAGGCAGCTTTAGAGGAGTTGTCCTCTTCTATGTGGTGCTTTGAGCAACTTCCAGTTCTCAAACCTGTTCTTCTGCTTTCTCTGAGGTGAATAAATCTGAACGAGTTGAACCAGCCAAGTCCATAAAGACCTTTGCCACTGCAGCAGCTGCTGTCTCTGCCACACTGGTCCCAGTGGATGAGGCAACCCACCTTGCTGCCACCTCTGAAGGTCTGGGAGGAGGTCCAAGCCCAGTGGGACATCAGGGTGCACCTTGTTCCTCCGCTGTGTCTGTTGAGCCAACACCTGCACCCCAGGATGGGAATGGCCTCCCCAGGCTGAAGGACATCCCCAGTGGTCTGGGGGCAGAGAGCTTGGTGGAGGCCACCTCAGCCCCACAAGAGAAACAGGAGGGAGGTGGGAGTGTTGTGCCAGAGGTGGAGCCTTTTGGGGGAGCCACTGTTCCAAGGCAGGGGGGCTCAGAGGGCGCTGCGCTCCAGCTGGAAAGCCAGAGGAGACAAGGTGAGTGGGTGCTGCTGGAAGTGGTGTCGGAGCCCAGGGATGCATCTGACTTGGGTGGGGGCTGGGTTGTTTGTTCAGTGCGACTCCTTCACGACCTCCCTGGGTGTTCACAGTGTGACATGTTTGCTTTGCCCTCTCTGTGTGCTACCAGCTCCTTTGCTTTGAGGAGACATTCCTCAGGCTTCCTCCTCTCAGTGACTGCCCAGCTCCCCAGGAAGGCTTTCTTGCCTTCCTGACATCCATCCTTGGATGTCTCTGCCTCTGCATGCTTGGAAGATTTCTCAGCAGTGTAGACCATACCTTAACCTTGAAGTGTCTGGCAGCACCTGGCCTGACTTGTGCCTTCATCCTGAGCATGCCAGATCAGGTGGAAAATCACACAGAGCGAAGCACGCATGTCTCCCTTGACAGTGTATTTAAGGACTCTTATATCATTACCTGTCCTAACCAACCTCATTCTTCCAGCTAGCATAAATTTGGAACAGAACCCTCTTTCTGAAGAAGAGATACGTGGGATTCCTTATTGTACAAAGGGGGAGGTCACAAAGTTGCGTGGTGCGAACTTCAGATGGCACCTTCAGATTGTGATAGCAGAACGTGGGCAGGACTCAAGCCTCTTGGCAAGTGGTCTTATGCCAGGGCAGGTGTCTTGAGGTACTTCTGTTGCTGTTGCTTTAGGGCAGTTTTTCAGTAGGCAAAGAGCTGCCCTCTTTAGGTGATCTATGAATATGATAGAGGAAAATGTGGTCAGCTTTCTCGGTAGATGCTGAGAGGGTTGGAAAGGTGATTCAGCTAAGCTCTCTCCTTTCTGTCTATGCATTGAGGATCCATCAAAAGAAGTCCTCACTTGGGTCCCAGTGGAATTTACCTGGAAGACCTCTCCAGCCTGGATGAGGAGCAGGTGGCTCTCTATTTCCCCAGGAGGTATGGGTTACCCCAGCTGGCCAAGCTCAGACCTTGAGCATTTCCCTTCCAGCAAAGGACGGAGGTATGTCTGAGGCTGTTGCCTGATGATGCCACCACTTCTTCTCTTGCTGGTAGTGACACAGAGCAGAGTTCAAAGCCTGTGGCAGACCCCAGCAACCCTCTGTGTGTCCAGCTGCTGTCCAACTTGCCTGCTGACAGCCCCGCAGACTCAGACTCTGATTTGATGCCCACAATTGCGCTCTCACTGTGTGGAGGCCTGGGGGACAGCAGGCAGATCTCTCACGGTAGGTGGGAGGGGAAGGGGAATCTGCTGTCCTGAAATCCATTATGTACACCAGTGGTGTGACACAGCCTCTGTCCCATCAGAGAAGTTCATGGAGCACATGGTCTCCTACCAGCAGTTTGCTGAGAATCCAGGACTCATCGATGACCCGAACCTGGTGATACTGATCAACAAGAAGTGAGTGGCGTGCTCTTCCTGCTCCTTCATCTCAAGATGATCAGGGTGGCTCCTCTGTCCTTACAGAAACACTCCTGTAGGAGTGGAACTCCAGTATAATCATTGTCTGGGATGCAGTGGTGTGGGAGGGGACCTTCTGGCCATGCTGCCAGAGGGTGATCTGGAAGCAGACCTTGTTCCAAGAGTAGTGATGTTCCCATCCCTCTTCATTCTTCCAGGTATTATAGCTGGGCAGTGGCTGCTCCCATGATCCTGTCCCTGCAGGCTTTCCAGAGGAACATTCCTGAGGTTAGTGGCACAACACATCTACCAGCTGTGTTCCTCAGCAGGGCTTGAGAAGTGGGTCTGTGAGGGGCCAAGCTGCCCATCTGGGGCTTTGTGGGCAGTCTGGGGCAGAGCTGGACATCACTCCAGCCCACAGACCCCAAGATCTGTCCTTTCCCTGAGGTACCTCAGGGTGGCTTTTTGGATACCTGGGTACCACTGATGTCACGAGACTTTAGACAAGGAAATCTCTGCTCTCCAATTCTGATAGTTTTGTCTGTGCAAGGCTGGTCAGAGCCAGGGGCCCTGGTAGTCTGGAGGATTTGGGACTGCATGAGCCTGCTCCAGGGCTCTGTAGGCTGGGATTATATGGAATAATGCATCCAGATTTTTTTTTTTCTAAGCTGTATGAAGGGATCAAGTCACTGTACCCTTCACCCCAAAACCATCTCCGCTCACAATGTATTCATCTTATCCTCTGAATAATTTTGCAGAGGAAACGCTGCCTGGACAAGGATGTCCTTGTGTGTTGGCAGCTGAGCCTCCCTGGGCTGAGGACTGACTTCATCCCATGTTCTGCCTTGTTCACAGAGCACCATCGACCAGCTGGTGAAGGAGAAGATGCCCAAGAAAGGCAGCAGATGGTGGTTCTCCTGGAGGAGGAGAGAATTCCCAGCAGAGGAGGTGTCTGCAGTGGTGGCTGTGACAACCATGTCCCCAGGGTTCAGGAGTCATTCTGGTGGCTGGCAAGGGTGGGGGTAGGAGAGTGGTAGGGTCCTGGGGATGGCATGAGGTTGAGTGGCCAGAGATCTGGTGTTGACTTCCGAAGTCTGTTGCTGTCCCCTCAGGTCTGTTAAAGCCTGAGCAGCACCTACCAGCATTACCAACAACCAGTAATGCAGTAAAGGGGGCCTTGTACCCCTCATGCCACAGCTCACTGGTCTCCCTGCTCCACACTGGTGCTGTGTTGTGGTTCCTGTTTCATGGGGCACTGTCCTCGTGAAGGCAGGGGGATGGATTGCCACCTCCTTTCTGGTGTTGCTGCTCAGGGTGTCTGAAGCAAAGCAGCTCCTGCCCTTGACACTGAGGTGCTGATGACCCCCCTCTCTGCCCGCAGCAGTCGAGGCCAGGGAAAGCCGGTGTGGGGATGCTGCAGCACAGGACTGCTCAGCAGAGGTGAGTGCACTCTCCCAGGTTGCCTTTAGGAGTCTGTGCGTACTCTTGATCTCTTCTCCTAAACGACCCTGTATTCCCATGTCTACCTAAGGTATGAAGGCAGAAAGCTCTGTTTGGCTGGACCAGGGTCAACCAGAGCCCTATCTCCTCCATGGCTGCTTCCTGGTGGTTGGGTTGTCCTCGGACCCCTCCAGATATCCCCTGGTATTCATGGGGAAAGCTATGGTATGCAGAGTAAAGCCAATGTGCTCTTCCCTTTCTTGATGTAGGCAGGAGGAGGAGGTGTCTTCCAGTGATGATGAGCCTCTGCACTCCGAGGACATGTTGGCAGATGCACAGAAACCTCAGCCAACCCACAAGAAATCCCTGCGACTCTCCTCTGAACAAATAGTATGTACTTTACTTCTCCTTTTGCTGCCTGCTTGTGTGTGTAGGGGTGAGACAAGCCTTAGACAGGGATTTCTCTACTCTGGACCTCATGGTTTTTATAGATCATCCACATATTTTGCCCTGGGTGCCCACCCTGTAGAGGCTTGGGGTCTCTGCTCTGGCCAGGTGGCAGTCTGGCCTCTGGCAAGACTTGGGCTGTTGTGAATTGGTGCCGGTTGTACCGTTTCTGTCATCCCCCCTCTGCCACAGGGAAGGCTGAATTTGCGGGATGGCCCCAATGAGGTGGCATTCAGTGTGACGACTCAGTACCAGGGCACGTGCCGCTGTGAGGCCACCATCTACCTGTGGAACTGGGATGACAAGGTGGTGATCTCGGACATTGACGGCACCATCACCAGGTAAAGGGCATTTCTCCCACCCCGTGTCCCTGCTCCTTCCCCTGCATTAGGGGAAAAGTGTCCTTTCGAGGCTTGCCTAAGCAGCCAGGAGGGACCGCAAACCACATGTTCTGGATACCCACCAGGTCAGACCAGCCTCACCTGGTGTCCTGTCCTTCTAGGTCCGATGCTCTTGGGCACATCTTGCCACATCTAGGAAAAGACTGGACTCATCATGGGATTGCTAAGCTCTTCCACAAAATCCACCTGTAGGTATTGGATCAACCAAGGGGAAGTGGGAGGATGGTCATGGAACCGCAAACCACATGTTCTGGATACCCACCAGGTCAGACCAGCCTCACCTGGTGTCCTGTCCTTCTAGGTCCGATGCTCTTGGGCACATCTTGCCACATCTAGGAAAAGACTGGACTCATCATGGGATTGCTAAGCTCTTCCACAAAATCCACCTGTAGGTATTGGATCAACCAAGGGGAAGTGGGAGGATGGTCATGGAGAGGATGAG